CGTCTTCCCTGTGGTTCGACCCTATGCTATGCTACAGCAACTAGAGTGTGTTGTTAGCTTAGTTTAGGAAAATATAAATACAATTTGACACACATCAAGTTATGCCACAAGAACTGATGCCACGTGAGCTAAATGATATGTTATTTCATTTGCATCTTTACAGAGCTACATCTTTAAATCTGAGATAAATGATGGTTTGTGTTTACGGCAGAATTATGGTTAAGCTATATGGACAATCATTACAACTCTTTAGTGGAGAAGTAGTTGGAGAATATAAATGGTAACATTTTGACGTAACGTTTGGAATCATTCTGTTAAATTTCACGAGTTTGCGAAACCTGTGAAGTTGGTCTTGTGAGAGAGGGAATATGGACTTTATGCCCTCATGATTCTCCTTTCTATGCTAGGTGGGAGTATTAATAATGCTAGGGTATCATACTTCATTTATTTCGTTTTATTCAATTCCTTCTAAAATGAAGTATAATGTTGTGAGATGAATAGTGGATACTAAGATCATGATTGCAAAGGTTATAGATGAATAGTGGAAAGATGAAGGTTGAAAGATAGGTTCCGTTTATCACCTCTTTAAGTTAAAGTTGATCCGGTTGGTTTTGGATTTACATATTACGCATAAATATTATTTGTGATATTTGTACTTATGTGAATTTACTTTTAAAACTTTTCTTTGGACCAGAGATATCGTTACATGAATTTATGACATGCATTAAAAAAAAATTGTTCATAGGAAACTGGAGCAGATAGCGTGCAAATAAATTTGGCTGCCAAGATTTTAGAGGTTGGTGCAAGCAAGTTTCTCTCAAAGAACGAGTTATCCTTCTGTTATTTTGCCACATGTTAGTTCATATAATTGTTTGAAGTGTTAAACTAAGTTTTAGTTAAATGTGTAATCAAACTACATGAACACTATAGATGGTAGCCGTGGTTGGCAAGCTCGTGAACAACTCGTTACAAAGAAATTAGTGTTGTTGATTTGTTCAGTTTAGGCTGTGTAATCTTCTACGTCATCACTAGTAAACATCCATTTGATGGTGAAAGTAAATATGCACCATTTTTTAACATCACATCAAAGAAATATATCTCCCAAGTAGCTGATAAACCCAAAGCTTTACATCTTATTTCCAATTTGTTGAACCTTGCTACACGGTTATAATATATTTTGTTTAATGATTTTTGAAATTTATGAAAGGCTACTCACTGTTTTATAAGCTTTTGTTTAATGATTGGTCTGTTACAACTCTGTCACTACTCTAGCTTCTTTCTTCTTATAAAAATCTGTTATGATTAAACATATATGTTATTGTTGTTTGGTTTTGTTTGCAAGAGACCGGTTGGTAAAGTTCCCAAACCACGTAACCG